AAGGGGGTGGACAGTTAATGCTGGACACTATCGCTGATCATAGTACGTCTCGGCCCCGATTTGTAACTAAACTAGCTAATCAAAGACTCGGATTCGTAAGATATAGACTTTTCTGATATATAATCTACGTAACAGTGTCTAGCATTAACTGTCCAACCCTTTTATTTCGCCTAGGACGAAGTATAGCGCCTTGGGCCCTTTTTTTCAACGATTATTGATATAATACTGTCCGCAGATATACTATCGCGAGCTTCGCCAGGAAGGGGGGCCTCTCTGCGTGTGGGTTTGGCCTACTAGCTTTTCCCATGCTTGTTACGTAAAGTTACACGCAAACCTGGATACAAGAATATTCTCGTGTAACAGATTCCTAAGAATATGACCGAGGCTCCCGGTATTCCCATCCAAATAGTTTAAGCATATAACCGAGGTTATCCCTATATCTGATATTCTTATACTTCGTATCCCGGTTTGCCTACATTAACTTAATGTGATCTATGAATCGCTACTACGAAGTACAAAGTTTATCGATCGACATTAGCCTAGCTATAAGTGTTTTCTGGTCTATATATACGGGTACTTTTCCTGGTGTAGCTAGAAAACCAAGTGACATCTTCACTCGTGTCTTATCCTCACTTCAATCCACCGTCCACCTTCAACATCTGCTAAAGAAGTCGGTACGTCGGAGAATCAATCAACTCTTTCTCTCTAACGCTGAACTGATACTGCTGCGCGATAGCTAGTTTTCACCACAAGAAAATCTCCGAATATGCGTCTCCAAATTATCTTCTGCTTCGTCGCTGCAGCGACGCAAGTCCATGGTAATTGGCTTCGTGCAGTTTGCGTAAAGAATGGTGTCAAGGATGCAGATTCCACCAAGATGTGTTGCGACCATTACAAAGTCAATGGCTGTCCTAGTTGTGGATTTTTTCCTGCAGACCCGAGCGAAAAATTCGACCTAGAGTGCAGGAGCTACGACAGGGAAATTGTACCTGAAGAATGGAGGCAACTCTGCGCTAGTGCTGGTGCTTCAGGAGAAGAGGGTCCTGTGTAGACAGAGCGACAGATGGAATATTAGACAGTAGGAGAAGAAAGTGGGGCTGTTCGTGGTGTGTCAAGGAGTCAGATCAGGTGACCTGCGTTCATTTATGAAGCTATTCACAATTATGGATAAACCAGCACAGACCAGTGTCAACCGACTTAAAAGATAGATCTCCTTAAGAATCTCTTCTCTCCCTGTAATCAATCTATTCAACCAAGTCGCAATTGTCCTCGACTTGCACTTGTACTGTGACATCTAGTGTCACGAATTACGTGTTCACGTGATGCTTGTCATAATAGGAGGCGCAACCCTCGACGAACATCCCAGGTTTCTTATAGCAAATAGGGACCGCTTAGGGTAGCTAAGCGATCCGAGGATTCTCATTGGTTGTTATCACGTGATAAAGGGCGACTGGCCGACTATAGCGACCATGAGGACGAAAGTTCTATGTAAGACTGGCACGTCTGCCATTAGATAGGAGCTTCGTGCTCAACTTAGTTATCAATCTTATCATATTAGTTTGACATCTTTGATACGAGTAACGAGTTCACTTCCAAGTGAACAACCCGATAGTCTTCTTCTTATCATAGCATACCAACCAGCGAACACCCAGCCAAGTTTAGTTAGCCAGTTTGAGTATTCGTTACAATATACTATATATAGGTATTAAGCTATTATATCTCTAATTTATTATAATAAACCCCTAAAAAGTATTATTCGATAGCCTAATATACCTTATCTACCCCTCTATACCTTAATTACTTACTTCTATAATCTCCCGTAATACTAAGGCATATTAAGATTTACCTTCTACCTTTCAATAGAAAATAATCTAGAATATATTAAATTTCTAGTCGTAAAACAAATCTTTACTGCTCTAAGCTATATCTTAACCCTATTTAGTAGAATTAATGCTATCTAGTTATTTTTCTTTTAATTACCTATTATTATTTTTAGGCGGTTTACTTACGTAGGCGGAAGCCTCGTGTACGTAGGTACCGGTGTCCTAACATTAGGATATTAATCCTCTTCTTTTTTATACCCCTTATAAATATAAGTCTATAAAAAAGTACAAGGAAGTATATAACAATAGATGTCCGCTTTACTTATCTACTAATCCTAATGTAGAATTATATATGGGGATGCCTCATTCCCTTAATCTATGATCGGTCGTATGTAGAAGGATTTATAATAAACGTTTACAACAACCGAGTAATCTCGCCGAGAGGATATAGGGGAAGGAATGCGATGCGTATAAATAAGCGAGGCCACACCTGCGTTTTCACCCACCAGACCCCGCCCTCATTATACTTACAGTATAAATACAAAAAGACTCGACGGAAAGGATCTAGCTGACTGCGAATCCATAATTTCTGATTACAAGCGCCCCCCAACCCTCCTCCCAACCCCCTCATTCAACAACCCCNACGTAGGCGGAAGCCTCGTGTACGTAGGTACCGGTGTCCTAACATTAGGATATTAATCCTCTTCTTTTTTATACCCCTTATAAATATAAGTCTATAAAAAAGTACAAGGAAGTATATAACAATAGATGTCCGCTTTACTTATCTACTAATCCTAATGTAGAATTATATATGGGGATGCCTCATTCCCTTAATCTATGATCGGTCGTATGTAGAAGGATTTATAATAAACGTTTACAACAACCGAGTAATCTCGCCGAGAGGATATAGGGGAAGGAATGCGATGCGTATAAATAAGCGAGGCCACACCTGCGTTTTCACCCACCAGACCCCGCCCTCATTATACTTACAGTATAAATACAAAAAGACTCGACGGAAAGGATCTAGCTGACTGCGAATCCATAATTTCTGATTACAAGCGCCCCCCAACCCTCCTCCCAACCCCCTCATTCAACAACCCCCTCACCACACCCCTCTCCCAATCCCCCAACACCCCTGCCTGCTCCCCATACCACCCCTTCATCCCCTCCCCCTCCACATACCCCGTATGCGGGGTGAGCAGAACCCTCGCTCTGCCTTCTTTCCCCCACTCCGTAGTTCTCCACCGACTATCTTGTGGCAAGGGCGAGAGTTCAAAGACATCCAACGCCGCGCCACGGATAGCTCCTCTTTCGAGGATAATGAGGAGAGCATCTTCATCCACAATAGGACCACGGGATGTATTTACAAATAGCGCAGATCCCTTCATGAGTTCCAGATCAGAGAGGGTGATGACACCACGTGAACGATCGGACAGAACGACGTGGATGGAAATCACATCACTCTCCCTAAACAACGTCTCTTTACTGACAACCGTAAAAGTCTTGCCACCAATCTCCTCATCAACGACAGATAACCCCGCCGAGACCGCCGCCTCATCAGCACGTTCCTGCGTCAGATTCTGGCTCCAGGCTAGAACCCGCATCCCGAATGCAAGATGCATGATCCGTCCCACCGCAACACCCAGCTTTCCCAGACCGACAAGACCTAGTGTTTTGCCCGCCAGGCCGGTCGAGAGACCGGTTTGCCAGCCGCCGGTGCGGATGGAGGTGTTGTCGTCGGCGAGGTTTTTGGCGAGGCCGAGGATGAGAGAGATGGTGTGTTGAGTCGTACTATCTGGTCCTGATTTCCTACTCTTCTCACCGTCTTTCTTATCTACAACACCCTTTTCCGTCTTCGAACCATGCGCCCTCCTCCCTGAACTCGTGCCCGTCACGTCAATACTCAACCTCCTCGCTTCCTCGCCGTCAATACCTAGATTTCTTCTCCCGGTCGTCATAAGCAACTTCAGATTCGGCAGCTCCCTTAATAACTCTGCTGGGAAGGGCGTACGTTCCCTCATGCAAGAGATGACGGGGAAAGGTTTGAGGCGCTCAATTAGTTCTTGTTTCTGGGATGGGGTGGTGGACGGGTGGTTGTATGGTGGGAGGGTGTCAGGGAAGGATGTGAATGTGAAGTTGGGGGAGAGGTGAGAGAAGATGGGGGGTGCGATGTTGGGGTAGTCATCGAGGATTGCGACTTTTATTCGGGAGAGGGGAGGTGGCATTTTGGTGGGCGAGTGAGTGAGAGGATGGGAGGAGATGTTTGGTTGAGGATGGTAGTGTGATGGTTTGTAGGGTGTAGTTAGAGGCGATGAACTTTAGAGTCTGTTTTCGAGGCAGTTTTGAGCCGCAATGTTGTCAAATGGCATATTATATTTGACTGTCCAAGACTTCGTCCACGTACACGTACAGAGCCAAGTGCCTTAGTAAACTCTATTCGTAGAATATTAAGCTATAATATATTTACTACTAAAAGATGAAGGACTCTTTACTTAGAAGTAATAAGTTCTCCTTAAATAGTTAAAAATAAGAGGATGAGGGGTAGATATTCCCCCGCCCCTCACCTCGGAGAAAATAAAATTTAACCTTACATTCCAAATTAAAATGACGCAACTGATAATCAAGGGAACAAACAGACTTACCGAATTCAAAGGGTTAGAAGTGAATAAAAAATCCAATGGAAAGAAGATGCGAGTCACTTACGAAAAGAAAAACGATGAAGAGGAAAACACCACCGTATCAAGTGCGCATTGAATTACCCGTCAACCATCAGGAGAATCCGCTTATGATTGGTGCGCATGACGTTTCAAGATCGGCTCCATTTATCCCGACCCCTCTGACCCACCAAAACCATACAATCTGGAATGGGGGGAAAACAATTGTTTGCTTCTAATACGCGGGATACGAACTCAGTTCATGAATGCGGTTAAACAAAAACTGTGTGGTGGACTATTCATCGTGGAACTTGAGCACTTGTGGAAAATCCACTCACCTGCACTTGCCCCCAATATTTCAAGTCAGTTGACAACATAATTCTTCCAGCGATTTCTCCTTGTCAGACACCATAAACGCTGTTTAGACTCTCACCACAAACGCGTTCTTGTTCTTTGGACAACAGATATCTACGATGTCTTCTACAGCGACGATGGTGCAGCCAACGAAAGCCAATATTGGCGTATATACAGATCCGGATCATAAGTTGTGGATTGCAGAGGCAGAACCGTCATTGGAAAGTGTACAAAAGGGAGACAGTTTGAAGCCAGGTGAAGTGACTGTCGGAATCAAGAGTACTGGTATCTGTGGGTAAGTCTTGCAAAGGCCACAAGCATGAGCTCTGCTAACGCTACCAAGGTCCGATGTCCATTTCTGGCATGCCGGATGTATTGGCCCCATGATTGTGAGAGATACACACATTCTAGGACACGAATCCGCAGGTGTGATATTGGCGGTCCATCCATCCGTAGAGACTCTCCAAGTTGGAGACCGAGTGGCTGTTGAACCCAACATCATCTGCAACGAATGCGAGCCATGTCTGACGGGCAGATACAATGGATGCGAGAAGGTTCAATTCTTATCCACTCCTCCTGTGCCGGGCCTCCTTCGCAGATACGTCAACCACCCAGCCGCTTGGTGTCATAAGATTGGGGACATGTCTTTTGAAGATGGCTCGATGTTGGAACCGTTGAGTGTCTCGCTCGCTTGTATGCAGAGGTCTGGCGTTAAATTGGGAGATCCCGTTCTCATCTGCGGTGCCGGACCAATCGGTCTCATCACGTTGCTCTGCTGTCAAGCCGCTGGCGCATGTCCTATTGTGATTACCGATATCGATGAGGGACGTTTGGCGTTTGCAAAGAAGATCGTTCCGTCCGTCACCACGTACAAGGTCGAGAGAAAATCGCACGAAGACTCTGCAAAGGAGATGGTGACGGCATTTGGAGGAATTGAACCTGCAGTCGCACTCGAATGTACGGGTGTCGAGAGTAGTGTTTCTGCTGCCATTTGGGCGGTCAAGTTTGGTGGAAAGGTCTTCGTGATCGGGGTCGGGAAGAATGAGATGAACATTCCATTCATGAGGTTGAGCGTTCGAGAAGTCGACCTACAGTTTCAGTACCGATACAGCAACACCTGGCCAAGAGCCATTCGACTGGTACAGAGTGGCATCATTGATATGAAGAAGTTGGTTACGCATCGATTCCAGTTGGAGGATGCGGTCAAGGCGTTTGAGACGGCGGCCGACCCCAAGACTGGAGCCATCAAGGTGCAGATTAAGAGTGAGGATTGAGGATTGGGGGGTGTCTCGGTGTGTGGGGGTATTTGGAGGGGGTATTGAGGGGGTATGGTACTAGCGTAGGCGATGATGACTAAGCATGGTACATTGTGTGATGTAGATACCGTGAGGGAGTTGAATTGAACTAAATTCGTGAGGTCGAGTGCAGGTGCTGGTGATGTGACCTTTTGCCGCGTTCCAGGTTCTACAATTGAGAAGACGCAAGATTTCCAGGTCTTCCTAGTATTCTCTTCCCATACAAACTCAGCTCAGTCAGGAACCGGAGCTTATCTAGGGCTAGCCTTACGCCTCACCTTCGGCCTGAGGCGTCCACGGAGGTTCGTCGGAAAGTTGCGGGTGGCTTTAGTGATTACATAACTTCACACAGTAGCAGCCACGGCCACGCCACGGCCACGGTAGTCCCAGCGTGCCAGCCCAAAATTGCTGGGGGCCGGTTGGTTGCCGACGAGAGGAAAAGTCTCCAATTTCTCGCGCCATCCACGTCCCCACGACCAAGGACCAAGTACCAATTGCTCGCCCATCACCCACGACACCATCCAGATTCTCCCCTCACACCGGAACTGGATCTCGGGTCGCACATATCACCGCCATGTCATTGAATGCGTCGCGCGCCGTCTTACGGCAAACCACCAAGCTGCCTGGACGAACCGCTCGCCGATTTGAATCCACATCCAGTAAAGCCACCGAGGCAGCCAAAGAGGCTGCATCCAAAGCATCTCAGACGGCCGCAGAATATACATCAAAAGCTACCGAGGGTCTGACGAGAGTGGCTTCATCTGCTGGTCCCGCAATCAGCAATGCTGCCAAGGGTTTGGGAAATGCTCTCGGAAGTGTTGGAGGAAGAACTGGACGAGTGGTGTCTCTTGTTGAGCGTGAGTGCGATTATGGGAGCTTCACTTGAAGCTGTGCGCAAGGTTTGGCGTCAATGGCTGATTTTGATGCAATAGGACAAATTCCATCCGTCATTTACTATGCACGTGTAGGGTTGGAGCTCTCGAAGCTCGTCTTCCAAGGACAGAAGATGGCCCCTCCGTAAGTCGAAAGCACCGAAAGGGTTAGAAAATAAAATAGAAATACTTTGCTGACATGCAATGCAGACCGATGTCCACTTTCCAATCATACTACCAACGTCTCTTCCAAAACGCACGAACGAACCCAGGCTCCATAATCTCACAAGCTCAAAGCTCTATAAAATCCGTTAGAAACTTGAGTACCGGTCAATGGGCAGCTGGTGGTGTTATTTTCGCAGAAGTTTTAGGGTTCTTTACGGTTGGAGAGATGATTGGTAGAATGAAGTTGGTGGGTTATAGAGGTGATACCGGTGCTCATCATTAAGTACTCGGTTAGGGGTTTTCACGGATGATGGGGAATGGACGATAGACGACAGGAAATGAATGGCTTTGAATTCTCGGCAAGGATAGCTGAGAATTGGGACGCCATTTGTTGTTCTATTTGCACATAGCTGCAACACCTTTTTCCTTTGTAACTCTGTACATCAGGAACCAATAAACAGCATAATGGTGGATTAGAATTACGGTCCCTGGGTTTTGTTTTCTTCTTCCAAAAATGGGGATTGACATGTACGATGAAATAGAATTGGTTTATTGCTTATCGGTCAGGTTCACTTTGTCTTCCAGTCAATGCCTTATCCATATTGTATACTGACGATTAGTGCCCATTCAGGGAATCCGTTCTACGCACCAAGGTTCAAAGTTGGGATGATAGAAGCTTATCACTACTGGTAGATTTTTACGTCGGATGGTTCAAAACTCCATCCTTGCTTAGCATGTGTGATGCATTGCTAGAAGCGTTTTGCAGCATTGGCATCCTTGCAAGTCGCAGTCATCTCGCCACCCCGCACTCTTCCCCTCTCTCAACCACATCCAAAAAGAGAAAAGAAGTACATGAGGTACATGGGACTTCAATGAAGCTACAGCTGCCTTAGCTACGGCTACCCGTACCCTAAGCATCTTCAAGTTAAAGGTAACGTCGTTTCCTACTTGCAGCTCGCTTGTATTGTGCAGAGTCACTTGGCACGCAGTGACATCATGTAACATACAACACGACGATGTACAATGCAAGAACTGCTGTTTTCTCAACACATCGAGAGATGAACATGCGAGGTTCGCATCCGCATCTCTTGATAATCTGGCCATTGACGGGTCTGATTTTCGTGATGAGCCTGTCAAGTATTTGGTCCATGGATTCACTTAAGTCGCCATGCTGCTGCATCCGTCTAGATTCCTTCCTCTCTCCCCCTTTCGACTCGCTTCTTACTGCTACGATGAAAATTCTAAATCACATTCAAACTTCACTCTTAGCGGTCCTGTATATAACCACCTCAGCGCAGAAAGTCATAGATCTAAGTACCTCACAGTGGACACTCTCAAGTCCCTCATATAATATCTCCGTCCCTGGAAGTGTACCCTCACAAGTCCATCTTGACCTCTACCGCGAGGGGATAATTCCAGATCCCTATTACGGACTTGGGGATTTTGAATTAAGATGGGTGACTTATTCAAATTGGACATATGAGACGACAATCTCAGGACTGTGAGTTGGCCTCTATACGTAATTGATATTTTTGAATATAATGCTAACAACGTGATATAGATATAAAAACACCCCAACCTACCTCCTCTTCAACGGCCTCGACACCTTCACATCCATCTCATTCTGCACCCACCACCTCGCCTCAACCAACAACCAATTCCGTCAATACCACTTCGACATCACGCCTCTCCTCTCATCATGTCCCTCCGAGCCCAAACTGCAAATCAACTTCGGCTCCACCATCAACATCACCGCCGACATCGCCGCCGAACCCGGCCAGGAAACCTGGCCCTGGACCGTGGAAGGCCTCTTTGAATTCCCCAACCGCCAGTTTGTGCGTAAGGAACAGAGTGATTTTGGCTGGGACTGGGGACCGGCTTTTGCGCCTGCGGGGATCTGGCAGCCTGCTTGGGTGGTGCAGATTCCGAGGGGGAAGGCGCATGTTAGGAATGTGTTGGTGGATGTGTATAAGGTGGGACAGTTGAATAATTTACCGCCGGATCAGGGGGCGGATTGGGTTATCCATGCGAGTCTGGATTTTCTCGGGGAGTTGTCTGAAACTGCTCGGTTGGAAATCGAGATCTTAGATTCTAAAAATCAGACCGTGGCTCAGGGTGCTTTGCAAAACATCACAACAGCAGAGGGGAGGATTGAAGGGAGTGTTATGGTGGATGCGGGTGCTTGTGATCTATGGTGGCCTACCGGTCTTGGTCCTCAGAATCTTTATTATTTCAAGATTAGTGTTGTGGATGGGGAAAGGATCCTGGCCAGTGTGGTGAAGAGAAGTGGGTTTAGGACGATTGTTCTGAATATGACGCCGGTTTCTGAGGAACAGATGGAGGAGGGGGTTGCGCCGGGGAATAATTGGCATTTTGAGATTAATGGACGGGAGTTTTTTGCGAAGGGGTCGAATTTTGTGGGTTGGATTCTATTTTCCCTTCTTGCTGTCGTTTTGGATTTTTTTGGGTGTATTCCTTCAACCGAAAATGTCTAGTTTGTTTTAGGCGGTACTAACATGTTTACAGATCCCCCCTGATGCTTTCTGGCCTCGCGTAACGCAAACGAAAATGGAACAACTATTCCAAACAGTAGTCGACGGAAATCAGAACATGCTTCGAGTCTGGGCCAGCGGTGCATACCTACCAGACTTCATCTACGACATAGCCGACGAAAAGGGGGTTCTCCTCTGGAGCGAGTTCCAATTCGGAGACGCTCTCTACCCAGTCCATCCCGAATTCCTAGAAAATGTACGAGAAGAAGCAAACTACAACGTGCGGCGAGTGAACCATCACCCCTCTCTCGCTCTCTGGGCAGGCGGCAATGAGTTAGAGAACTTGGAACTGCCCGTCGCTGAAGCACTAGATCCCGGAAATGATCGGTATAAAAAGGAGTATGAACAGCTGTTCCTTGACGTGCTTCTCCCAGCTGTTTACGGGAATACGAAATCGATATCTTATATCCCCAGTAGTACCACCAATGGGTACTTGACACTTAACTTCAGCCTTCCAATCCCCATGATCCAGCGGTATGAGAATAAAACTGAAGGGTCTATATACGGCGACACAGATCACTACAACTACAACTCCGCGGTGGCTTTCAACCTATCAACCTACCCCATCGGACGCTTCGCCAACGAATTCGGCTTCCACTCCATGCCCAGTCTCCAAACATGGCGACAGGCACTTCCAGAAGACCAGCTCTCTTTCAACTCCTCCATTATCATGCTGCGGAACCATCATTATCCCGCCGGCGGGCCTTTTACCGATAACTTCGCCAACTCCAGCAAAGGCCAGGCGGAAATGACACTAGCTGTCGAACGACACTATCCCGTCCCTCAACTCTCCGATCCCATCGCCAACTTCTCCGCGTGGTGTCACACGACGCAGATCTTCCAAGCGGCCTTTTACCGCTCGCAGATTGCGTTTTATCGCCGGGGGAGTGGGAGACCGGAGAGGAATCTAGGGAGTCTGTACTGGCAACTTGAGGATATCTGGCAGGCTCCTACGTGGGCGGGTGTGGAGTATGATGGGCGGTGGAAGGTATTACATTACATCGCGCAAGACATCTACAAACCCGTTATCGTAGCGACGTATTGGGATTACGAGACGGGTGACTTAACGGGGTCTGTGTGTTCTGATCTTTGGTCTGCTGCTAAAGGGACGGTTACACTTGCTTGGTATGATTATAATGGGACTTTACTCGCGCCCGCAACGGATATGCCATTCGAAGTCGGGGCTTTGAATACCACGCAAATCCTACAAACTAACACCAATGAAATACCCTACAACCTCACAACCTCCCTCCTCAAACTGAACATCACCGCTACAGGCTCCCTCCCAAATACCCCACCTAACCAAACAACACAATTCCACCACGAATCCATCTTCCACGCCCTCTCCCTCGCTACCGTCACCCTCCAAGACCCGGGACTAGTATTGGAATACGATGAGGCAACGGAAGAGTTTGTAGTGATGGCTACGAAAGCCGTTGCGGCGTGGGTGTGGATTGATGTTCCCGAGGGAACGCTGGCGTGGTTTGGGAGTAATGGGTTTTGGCTGTTGAAAGGGGAAGCGAGGAGGGTTGGTTTTCGGTTGTGGAAAGGGGAGGAGGGGTGGTGGGGGGATGTGGGGGTGAGGAGTTTGTGGGATAATTTGGGGGTAGGGGGCTAGGTTAGAGAAGGGGAAGGGATATTAAGCTACTCGAGTAAAGAGTTGGTGGAAATAATGAATAGTGTTTTTAGCCGTAGCTAAAGCGATAGCTGGTGGTAGCTGGTGGTAGCTGGTGGTAGTGGTGGTAGTCATCGAAATATAGAGATAAGCGATCGGACTTTAGATACGGCCGTGGGCTCAACTCCGAGGATCACCCGTTCAGCCCCAACCTTTTTTCATCCCAAGTACTGGTAGGAGCACTACCTAGGTAGAGTGCCTCGAGTACCTCCGTAAGATATTCCAACTCATCTGCGCCAACCACCTCCACCCTCCCTCCCAATTTCGGCAAGAACGATGCCATGAATTTCATCGTTCAGGGCCCGTCCCCTTGGCTCCATCTTCGATATCTTCGATACACCCGCACGATCCTACCTATACCCACGCTCGCCACGCACACTCGCGCCATCCACATCTGGTACGCTGCTAGCTTAAAAGCGCAGAGAAATATCGACACGAACCGCAAAATCCTCAACTACAATCTCTTTAAAGAGTATGCGGATCCCAAAGAGGTCCAACTTGGCCTGTGGACCAAGGAGGAACCTGGGTCACGACCGGGTGTGTCATGGCTGTCGCTGGCAGATGTGCTACAGCAGCACTTGGGGCCCGGCAAAATTCTCGTGCCCAAATCCTATGTCGACGAGAATGTCAAAAACGAACGCCCGGGGGTGGCCCACTATTACATCAAAAACCTGAAGATGACGACTTACAGAAAGATCAAGCGGCACGACAGAGGCACCGGATCGAAAGAAATACGGATCAACCATGGGGCATCGACGTCATACAGGGAAAACTTGATGTCGAGGGCATGGCACTTTGCGAGTGAGCATATCCCCGTGGAATTCCATGTAGGGTTCAGCGATGGGAAGAAGGCGAGAAAGGTTGCTCGCCCTGGCGAGAAAGGGTTTGTGGAGACGATGAATGATCCCAATGAGTTACATCTACGACCTGATGTGACATTGAGGACGCTCCCGGAAACCGCATACATGGCCCTACCGCCTTCTTCTGATGGCCGGACGGAGGTTTGCTGGGTGGTCCGTACACTACAGCCAGGGGAAACTTACAGGTCGAAACTAAAGCTGATCCGCCACAAAACCGAGTTCATGGAGCACAAGCGCTTAGAGGTAGAGATAGGGGCGGAGGCAGAGATGCCACCGAAAGAAGAACGGTCCAAAGTATGGGGCGGATGGCGTAGCATACTAAAGCCCCCAGAGGCAGAGCGAGGGGAGATAGCACCGAAAGGAGAATGGTCCAAAGTATGGTTCCGATGGCGTAGCATACGAAAGCACCCACACCTAGAGGAAGAGACAGGGGCGGCAGCAGAGGCAGAGGCAGAGGCAGAGCGAGGGGGTATGGCACTGAAAGAAGAACAGACCAAAGGAAGGGAACGATCACGTAGATTACTAAAGCACCTAGAGGAAGAGATAGGGGCGGCAGTAGAGCCAGAGCCAGATGCAGAGCCAGAGCCAGAGCGAGGGGAGATAGCACCGAAAGAAGAACAGACCAAAGTAAGGGGCCGATTGAAAGTTACGGAAGGCTATCAATCTTTTCTGCGAGGACGAGACGCCATGTATAAGCGACTCGACAGGCAATTTCCCCTCATATGCCCAATAGTCAGACGTCTTGCACCTCCGCACGCACCATCAGAACAACTTTTAAAGTTGGCCCACTTGATTTCTTACAAACTCCCGCATGTTAGGAAACTTGCTATAGAGGACCCATCAGTCTACGAAGAAATTTGTGCCACCATGCGACTTGAAGAAACGAAGGATGAAGTCCAAGCTCGTATCCAGGAGCTGCTGCTGAAACTGGGACAGGGTGACGAACCCGCTGTTGAGCCCCTTCAGCGTTCGTCGAAGGTTCGACCTCCCAATGCTCCATTAACGCATCCACTTCTTCTTGGAACAAAAACCTTCGATCCAAAAGAACGTTATTGTTTTCGATGTGGCGAGGTGCCGTGTACTCGGGAGCATTCAAAATACTGTAATGCACCACCTGACAAGTGGCTTTCGAAGTGGGAGTCCGATATGCTATACGGTGAGGTTCTGAGAAAAAGAGGACCTTCACCTCACGGAACTGACAAGAAGAGTGATACGAAAAAGACGTTGGTTAGTTCAGTCGAGGAAGCCACACAGTCCTTCCAAACTCGTCCTGCGAATTGGCGCAGAATAGATGGTACGATCGACATTGATGCTTTCAGAGACAGTCTTCAGGAAGAATCATCATCTGCGGAGTCTTCTGAGATGGATACATCTGATTATGGCCCGGGACCCGACTTTCCCTTGGACGGCGTTGTGCGGCGAGTTGGAAATATTCAACCTTACCAAAGCCCAATAAAGGAGAAATCCCAAACCTATCAACAGGACTACAATCCTGTGCATAGATTTAATCTAGAAAACTCATGGCCAAGTGAAGACGTCAACGGGCAAGACTCGCCTTTGGGTGAAGAATCCAAGAAGATCCAAACAGTTGCCCCCTCCAAGGAAACCATTGAAGAACATACACGTCGTGATAGTTCAGCAAAAGAGAAACAATATGAGTCTCAAGCAAAGCCTTCAATTAGAGGAACAAACCACATAACCCCAGCTTGGGCCGTCAAGGAACCGGGAATCATCCGCACCCACATGGTAGGAGAACTTGACACTGTCCCAGCCGCAGACACAGCAGAACCACTTATGGACCCTTTTGCTGCTAAAAAGGCAGAACGTCTCCATCGAGAGTTTCATACGAGAGCACGTATGCTTCGACGCGAAGCTACCGAGTTGGAGAGAAAAACGCAGGAGCAGTTGGCGGAAGCGGAGAAGGAGAATGAGCGTTTGAAGAAGAAATTTGAGGCGATGCAAGTTGAGGCGGTACAAGGTCCTTCCGAGCGTTTGAAAACACTTCCTTCCAACGTTGTGAGGTTTATTTCGGATCCATGTTTCACGAAGCAAGAATTAAAAATGATGGAGGCACCGGAAAGGCTCGCTGCACTTAGGAGGGAGAATGGACTATTTCAACGGACGCTTGTTAGATATCACCAGTCGAAGGATGCCATTCCAGGTGCGCTAGCGTTTACGGGTCTAGGGGATATCAAGAAAGCAATCCGGAAACCTTTCAAGATGTTTAAGAAAGGAGCCAAAGGAGGACGTATGGAAATTAAGAGAGGATCCAGAGAAGGACGTACAAAAGTTAAGATAGGAACCGAAAAAGGAGGTTCAGAAAGGCCTGTTTGGCTCCAAAAGTGGATGAAGCGAATCGGCGTGGATGAATATTAAGCTACTGTAAATTAGAAAAGTAACTTTTCGGCTTGATTTAGTAAAAATACGTTTAGATTAAATTGTACTTTTTGTAAATTACAAGTTAAATTCTTCTTTTGATAGTTCGAATTATAAGAATATTATGAATTTATATATAATTTATAAGAAGTTACTTCTAGACTATATTTATAAAGAGTAATTTTTAAAATAATACTTCGAATTTCATTTATATAATAGTACTTCTATAATACTATAAGTTATATCTAATAATATAGTAATACTACCTAGGAATATCTAGACATATTGAATACTAAGAAAATAATATATTATTCTTAGAAGAGCTCTAGTTTATACCGGTATATTAGTAGCTAATTAGGCCGTATAAGTTAAAGACTTTTAATTTAACGACTAAAGGTAACGGGGAAGAAGGTAGTATAAGTATTAGGGGAGTTCTGGAATTTGGATTGTGAGACTTGGGCCTGTGTATAAAATGTGTATATATGGGTGGAATATCGAGTGTTTGTATAAGGTAGGGAATGATAAGATGATCTAGTGCGAAGGCTGTTTGGTACGTCTTGATATTGATAATGATAATGCCTTGGACATTTGATGCCTACTGGTTCTTTACAACTTGTATGTAAATCTCCAACTAAGGAGAGCGTGGGTTGACGATTCATCCCAGATCTTCAACTATCTTAGTTGTACAAGGCTTTCAAGATAATACTATCATAAAAGAATTGTATATAGCTTAACGACCATGACTCTTATGATGGGTCTGTGTGTGACAGTTTTTGATTTAGTGAATAAGGATTCGCTTAGCGAAGTTGCGGGTGTACCCTTCCGTAGATAGACAAATACCTAAGGAGTGCGAAGAGCGTCTCTCTTCCCTCCTTGCGAACAATCTATTCCTTGATCCCCACCATAACACTGTGTCAGAAATATTCCATTAACGTAGAAGTCCTCGTCAAGCAGCGCCAGCCAATATCTGTAGATTTCAGTCTCTTCCGGTCCATCGTATGCATTACCAGCACTCCCCTCCCCCAACTCCCATCTCCAAGACCTCTCCACCACCCTCGTGAACCCTTAATAAACTCCGCAACCTAACCACACCCAACACCACCCATCCCATCCCATCCCCCACACCAACCACAACTCCCCACCCTCATCTCACCGTCCCCCCAACTCCATCCTCCCAGCAAGCTGCTCACAAACCCCCCCAAAATACGCCCTCTCAACCTCACTCCACGCCCGTCTCACCCCTCCCCCCTTCACGACCTCCACCCCCCTCAAACTCTTCCGTCTCTTAGGCGCCTTCTCCTCTGCCTCGTCATCTTGTAAGATTACACCCTTTGCCAGGACCTCGCGCATGAATTGAAGAACGAGGTTGGGATCGAATCGTCGCTCTTTTGCGCGGCGGTAGAGGGTTGCGCCGATGGGACGGCCGTAGCAGAGGGCTTCGTAGGGGGTTGCGAAGGAGAAGATTTGGGGGGAGAGGAGGAGGGG